CAGTTCGCGCGGCGCCTGGCTCTTGACAACGTGGTGAAGATGCTTGATGAGGCGGTGTTTGAGGAATCCGAGGTGGACCAGATACTAGACAAGCGCATAGCGGAGGATGGGACCGTTGAGTACTTAGTTAAGTGGCAGGACGACTCGGAGGACAGCTGGGAGCCGGTGGAGAACATAGGCGACGACTTAGTTAAGGACTACGAGGAGGGGCTGGAGTACGGTGTAGCGGAGAAAATTCTGGAGAAGCGGGTGGTGGGTAAGTCTCAGGGTGGGGACGAGGGTGTGGTGGAGTACTTAGTTAAGTGGCAGGACTCGGATGAGAACACGTGGGAGCCTGAGGGGAACGTGGCGGCGGAGGTGATTGCGGAGTTTGAGGGGGTGAGTGTGGAGGAGGTGGAGGCTCGGCTGGGCAAGGAGGGAGGGAAGTAGAAAGATGGATGTGGTGTGGAAACGTGCCCAACTTCATGCTCTGGTTCGCCCTTGTTCACCTTTGTTGGACGACGAACAGCCATTACCGGTAGGCTGGTATACAAACATTCTGTATGAAACTAGGGGTTCCCTATAATTTTACAGTAACATGATTGCTCACAAGGCAGCAAGCAACCATATGCAGGACGCTGCATGCAAGTACACTACTGTATGCTTCTTGCACACTCAGAGATTGAACTGAGTCTCCTGTCCGGAAACAACCCAGACAAGAGGCATTTTACAAAAGCAATTTACAGGCAACTACCGGACACCATGACGGAACGGTGCTTGAGAGTGCCATTGATCAAGTGTAAGCTGGTGGCAATGGTGCTACTCTGTTGCTATTTGCATCACCAAGAGAAGCCAGGATGGGCCACTTGTGCCACCCTGCAGCTGCGGTAACACGCAACAATCTGAGATACGGTAACACGTGGCATGGCATGCCCTGCGCTGTCACTTGTTCTTGGCATCGAGGCCGGTGAACATGTTGGGGGCAGCGCCACGGGAAGGCGCAAAGGTAGGGTGACATTTGAGTGACTGAGAACTCACATCCTATCCTACAGGTACAGGTGATACATGCCCCCATGCTGTCACTTCACTTGTTCTTGGCATCGAGCCCGGCAAACATGTTGGGGGCAGCGCCACGGGGAGGAGCGAAGCCAAGCAGCTTCTGCAGGTTGGGGCGGATGCTGAGCGAGCAGAGCATGTAGAGGAACACCATGGAGCAATCTGTGGGGTCGTCCCCTGGCAGGTTGCGGTGCGACATGTTGCGCTGTGAAGAGGGGGAGTAGAGTAGGTGGTGTTGAAGTGTAGAGGAGGAAAGCAAGGTACGGATGGTGAGGGTGAGCGAGCAGAGCATGTAGAGGAACACCATGGAGCAATCTGTGGGGTCGTCCCCTGGCAGGTTGCGGTGCGACATGTTGCGCTGTGAAGAGGGGGAGTAGAGTAGGTGGTGTTGAAGTGTAGAGGAGGAAAGCAAGGTACGGATGGTGAGGGTGAGCGAGCAGAGCATGTAGAGGAACACCATGGAGCAGTTGGTGGGGTCGTCCCCTGGCAGGTTGCGGTGTGGCATGTTGCGCTGTGAGGAGTAGGTGGGGGGGAAAGGGAGTGGGGATGGGGGCGAAGGGAGGAGTACGGAGTCCTGAGGAGCAGAGCATGTAGAGAAAGATCATGGAGCAGTTGGTGGGGTCGTCGCCTGGCAGGTTGCGGTGTGACATGTTGCGCTGTGAGTGGGGAGCAGGTGGAAGGGTCGGGGATGAAAGATGGGGGATGGGGCGAAGGGAGGGATACTGAGTCCTGAGCGAGCAGAGCATGTAGAGGAACACCATGGAGCAGTCGGTGGGGTCGTCCCCTGGCAGGCTGCGGTGCGACATGTTGCGCTGTGAGTGGGGGGGGGGGTGGTTAGAGAACAGGAGGGTTGGGGGAGGGGAGAAGGGGGCAGTGGGAAGTCTTGAATCGTGGAGGAGGGCAGAAAAGCACGGAGGCATGACCCCTGGCAGGCCGCGGTGCAACATAGCGCGCTGCGGCAGGGGGGTGTGGTGAGGGAGAAATGGAGAGTGCTGAGGCGTAGAGGAGGGCAGATGAGCACGGATGGATGGTGTGGGAGGAATATCAATCAAGGAGTACTGCTCTTCTGCTCTGATCTGACTAGAACCGCGGACCCCTCGTTTTGAGTGAGGACCCGATGAGTGAGGACCCGATGAGTGAGGACCCGTGGGACCTCTCATACGAATATCAATCAAGGAGTGTTGCTCTTCTGCTCTGATCTGACTAGAACGGACCACTGCTCTTTGTGGCCAGAGCGGTCCGTTCGTTCGTCCCCCCACAGGCATTGGTGCGGCAGGCAGGTCCAGAGGAGGTATGCAAAAGAGCAGACAAAGGGGGATGGTGAAGTGAAGTAGAAAGACTGTGGGCCGCACGCAGTAGAAACCCTCAGGCAATGGTGCGACGACATGTTGCACGGACGTTGGAATTCCAACGTCATAACGGGTAGGAGGGGAGATTATAAGTGGCAGAGGGGGAGGTGAGCGGGCAGAGCACCACGTAGGGCAGTGTCCTTGAGCGACTTGTGCGGTCGTTTTTGGGAAGTTTCCAGCTAATCGTGTTTCCCGCCCGGCAATGATGGCAACGGGGAGCGGAGAGGTGGGTGGGAAGGCTCTGGCGAAAAAGAGGATGTTTTTGCATGGGTGAAGAACCTTTCGTGGAAAAAAAGGGGTGGAAACATCAATGAAACAAAACAAGTACTGAGAAGTTGATTGAACAATAAGGACGGAAAAAAGAGGAGGGGAGTGAGGCGGACCTGAATGAAGGTGAAGAGCGCAAAGGGCAGCTTGGCAAGCAATGATAGGTCATGATGAGGAAAGAGGTGGAATGGAAAGGGGAAGGGGTGCGGCGGACCTGAATGAAGGCGAATGGCACGAAGGGCAGCTTGGCGACTGGCTTGCCGTCAAAGAGTGAGTTGAGCAACCCAAAGACGATGAGGAGTGTTACTGCTACCACTGCACCGGACTGCATGGGCGTGGGGAGGTGGATCAAAATGGGACGGAGGGGAGGGAGCGGAGAGAGGGTAGGGAAGGGAAGAGCGAGTTGAGCAACCCAAAGACGATGAGGAGTGTTACTGCTACCACTGCACCGGACTGGGCGAGCAGGCGAGCATGGGCAGTGGGTGCGGGGGTGGATGCAGATGGGGGATGGGTGGGGAGGGAGGGGAGGGAGAGTTGAGCAACCCGAAAACGATTAGGAGCGTCGCTGCTACCACTGCACCGGACTGGGAGTGTACGGGGTAGTGGGTTGGAGGGAGTGGGGCGTGGGGTGGATCAAGATAGGGGGAAGTGAAGAGCAAGTTGAGTAGCCCAGGCGATCAGCAGCGTCGCTGCCACCACTGCACCGGACTGCGTGGACGTGGAGGGGTGGGAGGGGAGGCAGTAGGTGGGAGGCAGTGGGAGGGAGGGTGGACCGGAGTGTGGGAGGGTGGATCAAGATTGGAGCGGTAGTTGAGCAGGCGGAAAACGATTATGAGCGTTGCTGGCACCACTGCACCTTACTGCGGGGACGTGGGGGGTTGGGAGGGGGAGTGGGGGGAGAGGTGAGAAGATGGGGGGGTGGATGCAGGGGTTGGATGTAGGGGGGTGGATGCAGATGAGAGGGTGGATGCAGGGGGGTGGACTTTTGACTCATGAGGTGACTTCTGGTTGACTTTTGAGTCGACTCAAAATTCACCTTGTGAAGGAGACAAGGGGGGACGAGGTGGCGATGAAAAGCGGGAAAGGAAGAAAAAACAAGGCAGACCTGGGAATGGGGCAACGCAGGGGATTTGGTCGACACTGGGGGACCAGCACGCACGCGGCAGCTGAGAATAAGGAAGCCAGGAGAAACTAAGAGCCATTGGCTGAACATCGAACCTGAAACTAGGCTCGGGTGATCCGTACCTAGATCTGGCTCGGGCTGATCTCCGTACCTGGAACTTGGCTCGACTGAGCGCCTGGTTCGAGTCCTTAAGGCTCTGCTCGAACCGCCCGATCTTGCGCGACGCGCTTTTTCTCCCCGCCGCCGCCGCCGCCGCTCCCGCTTGGCGCTCCTTCATCGATTCCACGCGGCGGCTCGTCTTCTCTATGCTCTGCGTCAACGCGCGATAGCTGGCGGTGCGGTAGATTAAGACCCACGAGATGAACTCGCAGAGGAGCGCCGCGAAGGCAGAAATTGCGACCACCACGAGTCCATCGCCGTACTGCATGATTGGTCGGCGAGAGAAAGCGATGCGAGCGAAAGAGGGTAACCAGACGGGACGTATTATCCGCAGCGCCGACGGGTCAAAGGTCATGAATAGCGGAAGCAGCGGTGGAGAACTGCAGTCGGGAGATCGCGGATGGTAGATCCGTGGCGTGGGGTGGTCTGGATTGTGTGGTCTGAGAAATGGGAGGAGTGGGATTAATGAAAACTATGCGAGAAGGATTGCACTTACAATGAGGTGTATAAAATGTCAAATGTTTACTGGGTTTGTACTGCACCGCGTACAAGCCAAACGCCTGCTTGTAACAGCAAACGTGCTCATTTGACAGCGATCGCAGAGAAACAAGCGACGGTAAATATGTGTTTCGTCACACCAACGAGGGCGGGTTACAGGGTTTGCTCGTTTTGCTCATGGTGGGTTACGCGGTGAATGAAACCAACCGCTCTAGATTGTGCAACGTCGTACTCAACCGTTTTTGCAGGAGAGAATGTGAAACCAGGCCCATGCGGTGTGCGGTATGTGCGGAGCCTCTCGCCTTGCGCCATGCTGCGGGGATTTATCTCGCCGCGTCTGATTGGCTATGCAAATGTTCTTCACGTCCCTCCCCGTTATCGCTGCCCCCCTCGTCTGCAGTGTATCTACCCATTCGCGTTCCTCCCCATCGCGTTCCCGAATCCCCCCCACCCTTGTTTGTCAAACCCGTAACCAGGGGCAGTGTGACTTCGACCTGGAACTTCGACGCGGCAGCCACACCCCTGGTTACGGGTGTGACAAACAAGGGTGGGGGGGATTCGGGAACGCGATGGGTAGATACACTGCAGACGAGGGGGGCAGCGATATCGTTTTGGGCCACCCTGTGAAATCAAAGTTCCAGGTCGAAGTCACACTGCCACTGCAGTGTGGCTGCCGCGTCGTACCCTAGAAATGGCAGGGTAGGAAAAAAAACCAGGCTGCAGCGGTCCAATCTGTGTGAGTGTTTCCGTGGAAAGGACTTCGCCAGTTTCCGAGCACATCCAATGCTTGACGCAGTCTATGTGTGAGTGCCTCTGTGAGAAGTACTTAGCCAGTTTTCGAGCACATCCTATGCTTGATGTGGTGCATGTGTGATTGTCTCTGGGCAAGGACTTATCCCGTTTTTGAATGGCTAAGGGAAAAAAGCTCAGTCAGAGTGCTGCCACTACCGAACTCGGCAGTGTGCTCCACGAACCAACAACTGCAAAACCAGGGTCGAAATTTCACGAGGCCTTATCGTGACAGGGTGGTAAATCACTTTAATCCTGTATTTACAGTGTGGTCCAACAAAACGACCCTGAAAAACAGGCTAATCAGGGTAAAATGCCCTGCAATCCTGAGGCCTGCCCGTAACTCCCGGCCTCTGCGCACGTTCCAGGCTTCGGCTTGCTGGCAGTGACAATTCCCCTCTCCCCCCCCCCCCCACAAACAAGATTATGAAATGCGTTGCGCCTTGCGCCGAGACTGTGCAACCATCGCGTTTGTCCAGCAATTAAATCACTCTCCGCAAGTCTCGGGAGAAAACTCGATCCGCTTCTCGCGCCTCTGCTGTACTCGATCATCCTATTCTGCCAGTGGTACTACTAGAGGCGGAAGTTTCTTGCATTGCGCACAACCGCGGAATTTAAATCCCCCTCGTCCATTAGGAATGGATTGCCGCACGCTGGGCGCCTCCCCAACGCGTTCCACCTCGTCGATCTATTCGCGTTCCTCCCCGTTTGCGCCAATCACGGCGAAATTCGCCTCACCCCTGAGTAACTCCTCTTCGCTGCCCCGGCGAACATCATCGCCTCCTAGGTCCACCCAATTCACGTTTCCGGCGCCCATGGCCCCGAGTTTCCTCTATTCTCCTCCTCCTCACCCCCTTCCCCCCCTCCTTCCCCTCCCCCCCCTCTCCCCCACCGCGCCCCTCCCCTTTCCCCGCCCCCACCGCCCCCCCCCGCCTGCCTCCCCCTCCCCCCCTCCTTCGCCTCTCTCGCTCCTTCCGCGACGGTACGCGTTACACATCCGCCAGTCGATTAGTAATAGTAGATCAAAATGTGTGGCCACTCGCTCTCAACACATAAAGCCCGGCGCTCCCAGGCTCAGTTGCATTCTCCCACCGTTCCTCGCTCATTGCGTGCCTTCGTCTCCTCCTCGGTCGCACCTTCTCAGACGCACCTCATAGTCGCACTTTCTCAGTCGCAACTTCCCCCAGTCGCACGCTCTCAGTCGCACCTTCCTAGTCGCACCTTTCGAAGGTCCCACCCAATCTCACCTCGTCGCGACTACCAGCGACGTGAGTCCTGGCGGTTCATCTCGGCCTGCAGCTTCTAGTCGAGCCCGAAGCTTCTGCTCTTCATACCTGAAGCTCGGGCCTGCAGCTTCAAGTCGCCATCCCCATCGCGATTCCCGTCGTCCGGAGTCGTCGCGAAGCAATTTCCCCCTGGCCGTCCGCTGTCGCCATGAAGCCCTGCGCGCGCCTGTCCGGCCTGTGTGGCCTCGCCGCACTCGTCGCGGCTCTCGCGGCCATCATCAGCCTCCCCGCGACCCACGCCAGCGAAGACCGTGGCCCACAGCTTGGTGAGTAGGCTACGTGATAACAGATGGGTTTTGAGACGGCTCGGAAACCAACTTTTATCTTGCATGTCTTGCGGCCATCATCAGCCTCCCCGCGACCCACGCCAGCGATGACCGTGGCCCACAGCTTGGTGAGTAGGCTCACTGCCGCACACCACTGGGAGTGCTAGGCTTGCACCACTGGCGTGCGGGTGAGTGCTGGCGTCTCGGTGAGTGCACAATACAAGCAGAATCTATCTTGTTTTTGGCCCACTTCCCTACGTTGCCTCTGTGCTGGTGTGCGTGTCTCTTGCCCTGCTTAAACATTCTGCCATTTCTGTGCAGGTACGTGTGCCAGTTGGAAATCACTTTTGAGAAAATTTTACAAGTGTCTGTTGAGAAATTTCTTTCTAGTGTCTGTATCTCGTGCCCCTGCTTGTCTCATTCCACCAATTCTGTGCAGGAACATGTGCCACGTGGCGCTGGGGCTGTTAAAAGCACTTTTGAGAATTCTCATAATCTCATCATCTCAACATGGTGTGTGTATGTCTCCTGCCTTGCGCCATTTCTGTGCAGGAACGTGTGCCACGTGGCGCTGGGGCTGTGGGAAGGATGCCACCTGCAATGATGATGACAACGTTGTCGGCTGCATCTGCAATGACAATACTCTCACCTACAATTACGACAACGAGACGTGTGATGGTGAGTTTGTATGCGCCTCAAGAATCGCCTCAATTCTACATGCAATGATGATGATAACGTTGCCGGGTGTATTTGCAATGACAACACTCTTGTCTGCAATTACAACACCATGACAGGTGATGGTGAGTGTGCTTTAGAGTCGACTCAAAAGCATGGTGGCGTTGTGGGTTGTATCTGCAATTATAACACTCTTACCTACAGTTACGACACCATGACGTGTGACGGTGAGTGTGCGTGTGAGTGCGAGTGTGCGTGGGAGTGCGAGTGTGCGTGTGAGTGCGAGTGTGCGTGTGAGTGCGAGTGTGCGTGACTGCGAGTGTGCGTGACTGCGAGTGTGCGTGTGAGTGCGAGGTTGCATGTGTGGGTGAGTTCGCAGTTCCACCCATCTAACCCGCTTTCACTCCTTCACCCCGGAACCACCCATATATTCCTCTGCAGACGCGTGTGTCGGCCGGGACTGCGGGTTAGAGGCTTCCTTGTTGAGTCGACTAAAAAATTTGCTCGCTTTCACTCCTTCACCCCGGAACCACCCATATCTTCCTCTGCAGACGCGTGTGTCGGCCGGGACTGCGGGTTAGAGGCTTCTTGCATCCGCACTGGTGCTCCCTCTCCTCCGTGTGTCTGCAACAGTAAAGGCTTCACCTACCTCCAAGCTGACAAGACGTGCTTTGGTGAGTGCTGCACTGGTGAGCTGTAGGCGATGCATCTCTTGAGATTGAGACACGTCAGCATTTCAGCAGTTCCTTGAGATTGAGACACGTCAGCATATCAGCAGTTCCGCATTAGGCAGCGCTGAGAGACGCTGCTGTCAAGGCAGCGCTGAGAGACGCTGCTGTCAAGGCAGCACTGAGAGACGCTGTTGTCAAGGCAGCACTGAGAGACGCTGCTGTCAAGGCAGCGCTTGGAACGTTGACCCCTTCTCACTCCTCCCGCACCTTCCCCCTCTGTCCGCCCCTTTCCTCTCCTTTGCCCTGCCCTGCCTCCAACTCCCCGCCTTCAAACCTCCACCGTTCGTTGCACAATCTCCAATGGCCACGATTTGCCACCGTCTCAACGGACGCTCAGCCCCGCTGGTGCGCACGATGGTGCAGATGAAAGGCCTGCTCAGCCCGCTCATGAACCCCACCTTCTCCAGTTTTCTCACACTTTCCCCCCTTTCTGCCCCCTTCCTCTCCTTCCCCTGCTCAGCCCCCTTTGTGCGAACAACGGTGCAGATCAAAGGCCTCCTCAGCTTGCTCCTGAACGTCACCTTCTCCACTCCTCTCACACCTTCCCCCCTTTCTCACACCTTCACCCTCTCACACCTTTCCCCTGCTCAGCCCCGCTGGTGCGCACGACGGTGCAGATCAGGGGCCTGCTCAGCCCGCTCATGAACGTCACCTTCTCCCTGTCTTCCCCCTTCCTCACCTTCCTCACCCTCCTCACCTCAACGGTTGCCAATACTCAGCCCCGCTGGTGCGCACGACGGTGCAGATAAAAGGCCTCCTCAGTCCGCTCATGAACGTCACCTTCTTCACGGACGGGCCGGCAGAGCAGCAGGCCAGCGGCACCATAGCGTGCAGCAGCATGGGGCAGAAGATCTACAGCGAGACCGACATCACCGTTGCGTGGGCCGCATTCAATTCCACCTCACCCTCACCCTCGCTCCAAGTGGCCACTGCTGGCACTGACCTTCTCCACTCCTCTCACACCTCCCCCCCCCCCCCCTCTTCTCCCCCCTGCTCAGCCCCGTTGGTGCGCACGACGGTGCAGATCAAGGGCCTCCTCAGCCCGCTCATGAACGTCACCTTCTCCCTGTCTTCCCCCTTCCTCACCTGCTTACACAGCCCCGCTGGTGCGCACGACAGTGCAGATCAAGGGCCTGCTCAGTCCGCTCATGAACGTCACCTTCTCCACGGACGGGCCAGCAGAGCAGGCCAGTGGCACCACGGTGTGCAGCAACGTGGGGCAGAAGATCTACAGCGAGACAGACATCACCGTCGTGTGGAACGCCTCCAACCCCGCCGCCAATCCCATCTCAGACCCAAACAAACCCGCGCTGCAAGACGCCGCGCCTGGCGCCGCCATGTGCAAGAGCCTGTCGTTCTACTCTGGGCTTTGGTGCGAGGATGACATCGAGCTGACTCTCGCGCGCTCTCGTCCTGTGAAGCGCGGCCGGACCACTGCCTACCCCGTCACAACAAAGTGAGTCAGTTTTGAGTCGTCTCAGAATGACAGCAGTCGTCTGTAAAAGACGCCGCGCCTGGCGCCGCCATGTGCAAGAGCCTGTCGTTCTACTCGGGGCTTTGGTGCGAGGATGACATCGAGCTGACGCTCGCGCGCCCTCGCCCTGTGAAGCGCGGCCGTGCCACTGCCTACCCCGTCACGACAAAGTGAGTGAGCTTTGAGAGGTCTCAAAAACACCCTTAATTGACGCGCCTGGCGCCGCCATGCGCAAGAGCCTGTCGTTCTACTCGGGGCTTTGGTGCGAGGAAGACCTGGAGCTCGCCCTCACACTCGCGAACATTGAGATGTATTTTGAGTCCCCTCAAAATGCACGGCCATGTGCAAGAGCCTGTCGTTCTACTCCGGGCATGTGGTGCGAGGAGGACCTGGCACTGACTCTCGCGCGTCCTCGTCCTGTGAAGCGCGGCCGGGCCACTGCCTACCCCGTCACGACAAAGTGAGTTTTGGAACGTCTCAACACGTCCTGCAAGGCGCAGCAGTGCCACTGCCTACCCCGTCACGAAAACGTGTGTGAGCGCGACGCACGGGCATGTTGTGGCTTGTTGCTGCTCTTCCAGCATATTGTGCGACCCTCTTTTTGAGGCGCCTCAGAAATCGAAAAAGTGTGTGAGCGCGACGCACGGGCATGTTGTGGTTCGTTGCTGCTCTTCCAGCATATTGTGCGACCCTCTTCTATTACCAGAATTTGCTTCGCCGTTGTCGTGTACAGTGTATGTCCTCACTCGCACTCAGTGCATGTCTTCCCCATCCTTACCTCTCCCTCTCTCAGGTATATCAGAGACGTTTACTTGGTGCAATCAGTTGGCTGCGAGATCAGTAAGTGCGAGCGCATGCATGCATATTTAAACCGTGTCACGTTCATATTGGAAATGATCTGCAAGCACGATAGCATGTGTTTTGTTTATTCTGACAAGCTACCGTACAAACAAAAGAGCGAGACACACCCAACCTCTTTGCCCATGATTCTTTTCTTCGCTCTTATCTTCTGCATATCAGACATTAGCATGTGTTCTGCTTATTCTTACGGCTACCATAAGATAGAACGCGACTCACCCAACCTTTTTGCCCACGATTCTTTTCTCCGCCTCCCTATGCCTAAAAACATTTTCTTACCCCCTTTCCTCCATATGCCTGGTTTGTTGTGAACCCCTCTGTGCTGCCCACAACAGCCACGTGCCACTTGGATTGTGGGGCTGCTGAGTGCGTTGTGAAGGATGGCAAGCAGCAGTGCCAGTGCCCCGATGGCTTCATTTTCAACGCAGCCAAGAAGACCTGCCGCGCTGCCCCTCCGCGTATGTGCCTTGGTCGTTCGTTGCATGCTTGCATGCTTCTCCGCGTACGTGCCTTGGTCGTTCGTTGCATGCTTGCATGCTTCTCCGCGTACGTGCCTTGGTCGTTCGTTGCATGCTTGCATGCTTCTCCGCGTACGTGCCTTGGTCGTTCGTTGCATGCTTGCATGCTTCTCCGCGTACGTGCCTTGGTCGTTCGTTGCATGCTTGCATGCTTCTCCGCGTACGTGCCTTGGTCGTTCGTTGCATGCTTGCATGCTTCTCCGCGTACGTGCCTTGCCTTTTGCTGCGTGTTTTTTTGGGCTCCTCAAAACTCGTCTTCAACGCGGCCAAGAAGCTCTGCCGCGCTGCTGCGCCTCGTACGTGCCTCGCTGTTTGTTCATTGTATGTTTGTTTTCATTGTATGTTTGTTTTCATTGTATGTTTGTTTCCATTGTATGTTTGTTTTCATTGTATGTTTGTTTTCATTGTATGTTTGTTTTCATTGTATGTTTGTTTTCATTGTATGTTTGTTTTCATTGTATGTTTGCCAACAGCCATTCACCATCTTGGCAACTGAGCATGCAATCGAAAAAACCATCTGCCAGCAAGTGTTGCCCGCTCCCTTTCAGTTCTCCCGCCTATTGTCGACCAAGCCTCATGCTCTCTCCCCTCTCCCTCACCTCCCACCTTCGGTCAACGCCAGCCAAGTGCAGGCCTGCCTGCACTGCTGATGCCAAGTGCACGTGGGTGGGAGGAGGAGAGGCAGCGTGTCAGTTCAGGAAAGGTCTCAAATGCTCTTCCTTCTCTCTCCACTCCCCCATCCTCCACCTCCCGTCAACGCCAGCGAAGTGCAGGCCTGCCTGCACTGCTGATGCCAAGTGCACATGGGTGGGAGGAAAGGCGGTGTGCCAGCCAAAATTTTGAGCAAGAAGTGCACATGTAAGAGGGAGAGGGACAATTGCATGCTCCGCCTTGTACCTTGCTCTCTCCCATGCCAGTGCAGCTAGCTTATCCACTCCCACCACCCCCATCGCCCAAGATACACCAATGAACAACCCACGTGTCACTTCCCAATCTTCCTTGTATCATCTGCTTTCTCATCTCGCTTCTTTCACGGTGGCCTGCTCTCTATTTGCCCCCTCTCGTTGCAACACAGAGAGCTTCTCCATGCCCCCTTTCGATGATCAAGTTCAAGATGAAGGAGCCAGAAGCTGGCTGGCAGTGCCAGAGGAACATCATATGGGTGGGGGCTGATGGAGCAGAGGTGCAAGCAGCTGCATGCAGTTGCTCGGGGGCCAGCTATATTTGTGTGACTTTTGAGAATTCTCAATCTGGCTCGGGGGCTGGGAACCAATCTGGCTGACGGTTGGCCAAGTCAGTGTGTGTGTGTGGTACTAGGAGTGGCATTACGAGTGTGTGTACTTGCTGGTGTGTTGTACTATGTAGACTGGTTTTTGCTTGTTTGCTATCTTAGGATGTCTTGGGCTTTTTGTTCGTTTTTTGTACTGCAATCCAGTTTTTTGCTATGCCTATCGACTTCAAGCACCTCTATAAAACTGCACTGGTAGTACCATACTAGTAAAAGTTGTAAAGTTGCTGAAGGGTGGTCAGAAACAAGGTACGATACTGTAGCACAGCTGTGCCTAAATGAATGTGTGATCAAGGGGGTGGCGTGGCATACCGTATCAAGGTTGTGTGTCTTGTTAGGATTTCTAACTTAGAAATACTGTAGACTAAAAAGGTTGTCAGAAACCTGCAATACTTCTGGGACTGTTAGGATTTCTAACTTCTGCAAAAAGTGTGTCTCAAAACACACTTGCATGTGCTTGCATTAGCTGTGCCATAGTTGCAAGATTGCACTAGAGTCTAAACATGTCAGTGACTACCGATGTTGCTGAGTGGAAACCTTCAGCCGTGACAGGGCTGACCAAATATTGGCACCCATACGCCCAATCTCATGCCTCGTTCCACCTTTAATTCTCGAACTTGCCCCAAGCGCATGTACGGTATTCAAAGGGACAAGACAAACAACACAAATGAAGAAAAGAGCAGAAATCCACAGTGACACACAAAGTACTACCGTAATTCAGGTGCAGCAAAACGTCCTTCTAAAATGACTAAAGCCACATTATATGGTACAAGAGCAAACCAACATGTAGATACCGTCCCATCCCTAGTGCAAGCACTAAATATCTTGGCCACCATCAACCAGATAGGTTCCTAGCCTCCAAACAACCATGTCCAGTTGTTCACACCTCTGGAACACCAGCTCCCACCGATTGCATGTCATGTTCCTCTGGAGCTGCCAGCTTGTGGCTCCTTCTCTTGTCCTCCAACTCCCTCGTCCCTGTCCGCCAACTCCCTCGTCCCTGTCCGCCAACTCCTTTGCGGCAAGCATGATCAGCTCTGTGAGTTGCAAAGAGGGGCGAACGGGAGGGCAGGCCACGAGATGTGGTTGAACGGATTCAACGGGATGTATGGTAAGTGACGTGAGATGGAAGATGAAATGGGACGACAAGCACAGAGGAGGAGGGATGTGGATGGTGGAAAAACTTTTGAGTCGACTCAAGGTGACTTTTGAGTCGACTCAATAGTCAACTTGACCAGCACAGAGGAGAAGGGATGTGGATGGTGGAAAAACTTTTGAGTCGACTCAAGGTGACTTTTGAGTCGACTCAATAGTCAACTTGACCAGCACAGAGGAGAAAGAATGTGGATGGTGGAAAAACAATCCAACGATATGAGCATGTGGGGTGATTATATGGCAGTGGAAAGCAAACGATGACAGCATTCAGTGAAGAAACAGGGAAGAGAAGATAACATCTCCATCTACCTCTCCCTCTACTTATGCCTTTGTGTCTCCCTCTCCCACTTCCTATCCCTCTCCCTCTCTCTCCCCCTCCCCCTTCTGTCCCTTACAAGTGCACTTGTTGCTGTAATCCATTTGAAACCCTGCCTTGCACTGGCATGCCGCCTTTCCTCCCACCACCTTGCACTGCGCATTGGCAGGGCAGCCACCCTTGCATGTGGCTGCCACATGCAACAGAGGGAAGAATGCGAATCAGTGAGCGAGGAAGAGATGAGAGTATGCCATCAGTTCTAGATGACATCGATGCGACAACCTGGTTGCTGATGGGTGCACTAGCTTAGAAGTAGTGGCTGTGGTGGTGAAGGAGCATGAGTCTTGAAACTTACGTGTGCACTTGTTATTCGCCATTTGAAACCCTGTCTTGCACTGGCATGCCGGATTTCCTTTCACCTCCTTGCACTCCGCATTAGCAGGGCAGGCAGTGTTGCATACGGCTGCCAGATGTGGTGGGTGGAGCGGTGGAAGTGAAGGAAGAGGTTGAAGAAGAAGTGGGAATGAGCTGTAGGGAATACAATGAGATGGGTCATGCGGGTAATTCATGGGTGCATGTGGAAGGGGCAGACTGTAACAAGTCAAACCAAGCTACAAAAAACGGAAATCTCTCCCTCTCACTTACGTGTGCACTTGCATTTTGGGGCAGAAAAAACGGCATGGATGAGACATGCAGGTAGTTTATGGGTGCATGTGGGTGGGAGAGATGGTGGGATAAGTCAAACTGGTGTGCACGGAAAGAAATCCCTCCTTCTCACTTACGTGTGCACTTGTTGTTCTCCATTTTGAAACGTGGCTTGCACTGACACACCGGCTGTCCTCTCCACACCATGCACTGGGCATTCACAGGGCAGGCCCGCTTGCACACGGCTGGAGTAGGTGGGAGGTTGAGGGAGTGGACGGGAGGTGGGGGGTAAGGGAGCAGAAAAAGAGTAGGAGCCTGAGTAGGGTAGCAGTGGGGAAAACGAGAGCGAGTGGAGGGAGGAGCGTGAGTGAGTGCGACAAGGATTGCACAAAACCCCCAAGTACTCATGCTCGACTCACATTCAGCACTGTCTATAAAGGATGCACAGCCTCCTAGCCTCTTGAACTCTTGACCTCTTGAGCTCTTGGCCACCAGCCTTTCAAACAAAATTTCTCGGCCGGCTCACCAGTGCAGAGGCGGTTCGTCTTGGTGTAGCCGGCGTTACACTCGCAACTCCCATGCCCGTTCTTCACAACGCACTTTGAGTTCTTGCCGCACTTCAGTGTGCCCGTCTTGCAAGGGTCTGCCGCTGCCATGGGTGGAGGAGGGAAGGAGTTAGTACCAGCTGAATGCCAATGGGCATTTAACTTTGAGGCAGCATCACTTTGAATCTTCATTTGAACTGAATTTTTTGAGGTCACTTGTACAGCGTTGGTATAACTGTTTGTTGGTTGGCAACAAGAGACAAAGACGCCTAGCAGCGGCAAGAGACAAAGACTCCTAGCAGCGGCAAGAGACAAGGACACTTACCAGCAGTATAAGACGCATCGCTGCAGATCTTCTCAGCCTCATTGAACACGAGGCCCAAGGGGCACTTGCACTGGGCCTTGCCCTCCTCCACAATGCACTTGGCAGTTCCACAATCCTTGGCACACGGGGCTGTTGTGGGCACCACCGACGGGGCTGTCGAGGGGACCACAGACGGGGCTGTTGTGGGGACATAGAGGGACAAACACCACAGGCAAAAAAGTGAAGGGGTAAGGGGACCATAAGGGAGGCTTAGGGAGACAAGGAAGAGGCTTGCTTCTCACCTTCTTTTACCCTGTCTCTCCCATACTGGTGAGTTTGTCAGAATGAACAAACAAGTTCTCACGGAATAATGACAAAGAAAAACACTCCATCGACAGGCGGCGCAAGTGGTTTCTTCTCGGAACCCACCCACGTCCCACCACTCACCATTGCATGACTTGTCTGTAGCATTGTAAATGTAGCCTTCAATGTTGCACGAGCACGTGGCTGTGCCATTGCCATTGCCATTGCCATTGCCATTGCCTCCCAGAGGGCAGGAAGCACTTGGCCCGCAATCCACTTGATAACACGCATCTGCAGAAGAATCAGTGGTAGGAAAAGAAGTGTTCAGGGCTTCGGGTTTAGGGTTTGAGGTCTAGGGAAGAATTGGGTTAACCCACACTCCAGCACTACCACACTTCCACTCACCATTGCAAGTCTTGTCTGTTTCGTTGAAGGTGTGACCAGTAGCTTTGCAGGAGCACTTGGGAGTGCCATCGGCCAAAGAGCAAGAAGCAGTGTTGCCGCAATTCACTTGATAACACGCGTCTGCAGGGGAATCAGTGGTGATTTGAGGAAAAGAAACGTTTAGGATTTAGGCTTTAAGGTTTGTGGTCTAGGGAAGAATTTGGTTAACCCACACTCAAGCACCGTACCACACTTCCACTCACCATTGCAAGTCTTGTCTGTTTCGTTAAAGGTGTGACCAGTAGCTTTGCAGGAGCACTTGGGAGTGCCATCGGCCATAGAGCAGGTAGCACTACTGCCGCAATCCACTTGATAACACGCATCTGCAGGGGAATCAGTGGTGATTTGAAGAAAAGAAACGTTTAGGATTTCGGGTTTAAGGTTTGCGGTCTAGGGACACTCCAGCACTACCACACTTCCTCTCACCATTGCACGTCTTGTCTGTTTCATTGAAGGCGTGTCCAGTAGCTTTGCATGAGCATTTGGGAGTGCCATTGGCCATAGAGCAGGAAGCAGTGTTGCCGCAATTCACTTGATAACACGCGTCTGCAGGGGGGTTTGTGATCGTTTGAAGGTGAAATAGGGGGAACAGAGATGTGAAATGGACGACTTTACATAAGCAAACACCCGTATCGAGCACCCTCCAGACTCCAGCACCCTCAACACTCTAGCACTCAAACACGCTCCCACTCACCATTGCAAGTCTTGTCTGTTTCATTAAAGGTGTGACCATTGACTTTGCACGAGCACTTAGGAGTGCCATCGGCCAAAGAGCAGGAAGCACTGCTGCCGCAATCCACTTGATAACATGCGTCTGCAGGGGGTTTGTGATCGTTTGAAGGTGAAATAGGGGGAACGGAGATGAGAAATGGACGATTTTACCTAAGCAAACACCCGTATCCAGCACCCTTTACACTTCAGCACCCTTAGCAGTCTAGCACTCAACCACTCACCATTGCAGGTCTTGTCTGTTTCATTAAAGGTGCGACCTTTGTCTTTGCACAAGCACTTGGGAGTGCCATCGGCCAAAGAGCAGGTAGCACTGCTGCCGCAATCCACTTGATAACACGCGTCTGCAAGGGAATTCATGATGGTTTCAAGGTGAAATACGGGAAGGGAGATGTGAAATGGACGATCTTACCCAATTGTGAGAACAAACTCACACATAAGCGGCACACGCCTATCAACCACCCACTCACACTCCAACACCCACCCACTCTCCTACACACCATTGCGAGTCATGTCTACTTGGTTGAAGGTGTGACCTTCTATTTTGCATAACCAAAACCATCGCTCGGAGCACCACAAACTCGAAATGGGATACCATTGGTCGTCCAAGAATCTCGGATGACACAAACGGTATTCTTGACACAAAGTGAAATACGCCCTGTGTGCATTTGACTGCTGTGCTCCCAGCACTCACCATGGCACTGCTGGTCGGCTTCGCTGAAGGTAAAGCCATTCGCGGTGCACTGGCAGCTGAAAGTGTTCTCAGAAGTCACAATGCACTGGGCATCGCTCGGACAGACTTTGTTGCAGGATGGAGAGGGGTTTTGAGTAGGAGGAAGGATGTTTTGATCTGGAGCGAGGGGGGGAAAGGGGGGTAAACAAGTGGTGATTTAGGTAGACGACTCCACCTCTCACTCACCCACACTCCACCTCTCACTCACCCACACTCCACCTCTCACTCACCCACACTCAACCTCTCACCCACACTCAACCTCTCACCCACACTCAACCTCTCACCTAGGAAAGAAAGTAGGTGAGAAGCCAGAGGACGAGAAGCAAGAGCGGGGGAGGCAAGAGCAAGAAGGTTCGTGGGGTACACGACTCTCACCAGTTGGTTTCCATGCCACTGCTTATGAGCGAGGGTGCAGTTGACCACTGTGGCCCAGCACTCACCATGGCACTGCTGGTCGGCTTCACTGAAGGTAAAACCGTCGTTAACGCACTGGCAGCTGAAAGTGTTGTCAGCAAGCACAATGCACTTGGCATCGCCTGGACAGACTTTGTTGCACGATGGAGTGGGGGTTGGATTAGTAGGAGGAGTGTTTTGATCTGGAGTGAGGGAGGGGAAGGGGGAAAAGGCGATCATTTTGCTAGCCAGCGAATGATGATGAACTCACCCATCCTCCACCTCTCACTCATACTCCAGCACCCACACCCACCGACACTTCTGCCCCTTACCGCCAAGAAAGGGAGCTAGCAGAGAAAGAGGGTAGGAACAAAGAGAGAGAAGAAAGCAGGAGGAAGCGAGAGGATGCGAAGCAAAATGACGGGTTGCTTGCACTAGGAGCAGAAGTTGGGTGTGATGACATTAGCTATGAGGGCGTATTTCACTTTGTGTCAAGACAACAGTTTGTGTCATCCGAGATTCTTGGACGACCAATAGAGCACATTTCAGTTCCACTGTTGGAATATCATTGGTCGTCCAATAACTTCGGATGACACCAACAGTACTCTTGACACAAAGTGATATGCACCGTGTGTGCATTTGATTGCTATGCTCCTGCTCCCAGCACTCACCATGGCACTGCTGGTCGGCTTCGCTGAAGATAAAGCCATTCGTAGTGCACTGGCAGCTGAAAGTGTTCTCAGAAATCACAATGCACTGGGCATCGCTTGGACAGAGTTTGTTGCAGGATGGAGTGGGGTTTTCAGTAGTAGGAGGAATGTTCAGATCTGCAGTGAGGGAGGGAAAGGGGGGAAAAAGAGGTTTTTCTAGCCAACGAAAGAATGACGCACTCACCCACATTCCACCTCTCACCCACAGCTTAACACTCACCCACACACACTTCTGCACCTTACCACCACAACTCTACCACACACCCACGCGCTCTTCTGCACCCTCCCACCCACATTCCAGCACCAACCCACCTACATTCCGGCAGCCAACTTAGAGAAAGAGGGTGAGGAACGTGAGTGTGAGAAGAAAGTGGGTGGAAGAGAGAGGATGGGAAGCAAGGAGGTGGGTTGGATGCGCTAGGAACAGCAGTTGAGTGTGTGTAATGGCACTGACTATGAGCGTGCGTTTGACTGCTGTGCTCCCAGCACTCACCATGGCACTGCTGGTCATCTTCCCGGAAAACAAAGCCATTGGCGTTGCACTGGCAGCTGAAAGTGTCCTCAAAAATCGGTATGCAGTGGGCGTTGCTTGGACAGGCTTTGTTGCAGGATGGAGTGGGGGTCTGATTAGGAGGAGGAACGTTTGGATCTGCAGGGGGTGTCTGATTAGGAGGAGGGATGTTTGGATCTGGAGTGAGGGAGGGGAGGGGGGGAAAAAGTGGTCATTTTGCTAGCCTACGAATGATGATGAACTCACCCACGCTCCACCTCTCACCCACAGTCCACCTCTCACCCACACTCCACCTCTCATCCACACTCCACCTCTCTCCCACAGACTACCTCTCACCTACACCCCACCTCTCACCCACACTCCGCCTCTCACCCACACTCCACCTCTCATCCACACTCCACCTCTCTCCCACAGTCTACCTCTCACCTACACCCCACCTCTCACCCACACTCCACATCTCACCCACACTCCACCTCTCACCCACACTCCACCTTTCACCCGCACTCCACATCTCACCCACACTCCACCTCTCACCCACACTCCACCTTTCACCCGCACTCCACCTCTCACCCACACTCCGCCTCTCACCCACACTCCACCTCTCATCCACACTCCACCTCTCTCCCACAGTCTACCTCTCACCTACACCCCACCTCTCACCCACACTCCACATCTCACCCACACTCCACCTCTCACCCACACTCCACCTTTCACCCGCACTCCACATCTCACCCACACTCCACCTCTCACCCACACTCCACCTTTCACCCGCACTCCACATCTCACCCACACTCCACCTCTCACCCACACTCCACCTCTCATCCACACTCCACCTCTCTCCCACAGTCTACCTCTCACCTACACCCCACCTCTCACCCACACTCCACATCTCACCCACACTCCACCTCTCACCCACACTCCACCTTTCACCCGCACTCCACATCTCACCCACACTCCACCTCTCACCCACACTCCACCTTTCACCCGCACTCCACATCTCACCCACACTCCACCTCTCACCCACACTCCAGCACCCTTCCACACTCCAGCACTCACCCTTGCATGAGCTGTCAGCTTCGTTGTAGATAAGACCTTCTACATTGCACCAGCACTTGGGATTGCCATCGCCTACCGCCGTAGAGCAAAAAGCAACTGCCCCGCAGTTATAGTCATGACACGCGTCTGCATGGGAATTCGTGGTCACGATGTAAAGAAGAGCGAGGGACTGTCAGAACGTACAGCTTTGCAGGGCACTAACCCACACTCCGCACCCATCCACCCACACTCCAGCACCCACCACCCACGCTCCAGCACCCACCACCCACGCTCTTGCACCCTTCCACTCACGCTCTTGCACCCTTCCACCCACGCTCTTGCACCCTTCCATGGTCCATCGACACTCCTGCACCCTCACACCCACACACCGGCACAGCACCCACCCACCCTACACTCACCTCTAGCGCAGGTGCTTTGATCGAATGGTTTGGGGATAAAACCAGGGCGGCAAGCGCACACTGCCATGCCACCGAATCCCATGCCGAAGCTCGAATGTGTGCCGCAGTAGGTACTTTCGCTGTCACACATCACGCCTTCATCACATGACACGACTGTTGGGCGAGATGGTAGTAAGAAGCAAAGAAGATCATGTGATGAAAAAGTTGTTTTGAGACGTCTCAAAACATCATGCCTTCACCACACCACATGATACTTCTGTTGGGGGCAAAAGAGATGGAAGTAAGAAGCCAGGGAGCCACAGAGGGGCGGTGGGGGTGAGAAGCAGCATGCCTCTTGAAGAGGGTGAGAAGCAAGAGGGTGAGGAGCAAGAGGGTGAGGAGCAAGAGGGTGAGGAGCAAGAGGGTGAGGAGCAAGAGGGTGAGGAGCATAAGGACAAGGAGCATAAGGACGAGGAGCATAAGGACGAGGAGCAAGGACGAGGAGCATAAGGACGAGGAGCATAAGGACGAGGAGTAAGAGTGAGCACCAGTACTAGCAATCACCAGTGCTGCCACGAGTGGAGGGCGGCAGCCATCCAGTAATAGCCCGGTACCAGTATTGTTAAGCAATCACCGGGAGCGCTGCCTGCCACGAGTGGAGGGCGGCAGCCATCCAGTAATAGCCCGGTACCAGTATTGTTAAGCAATCACCGGGAGCGCTGCCTGCCACGAGTGGAGGGCGGCAGCCATCCAGTAATAGCCCGGTACCAGTATTGTTAAGCAATCACCGGGAGCGCTGCCTGCCACGAGTGGAGGGCGGCAGCCATCCAGTAATAGCCCGGTACCAGTATTGTTAAGCAATCACCGGGAGCGCTGCCTGCCACGAGTGGAGGGCGGCAGCCATCCAGTAATAGCCCGGTACCAGTATTGTTAAGCAATCACCGGGAGCGCTGCCTGCCACGAGTGGAGGGCGGCAGCCATCCAGTAATAGCCCGGTACCAGTATTGTTAAGCAATCACCGGGAGCGCTGCCTGCCACGAGTGGAGGGCGGCAGCCATCCAGTACTCACACTCGGCGCTGGCTTGGGTCGCGAGGAGGCTGATTGCAACGATTCCCGCGACGAATGCGCCAACTAGGCCGCCAACGCCGGCAGACCACAGCTGCCCGTAGCGCTTCATCACAATGGCCGCCGGGAAACACGGCGTGATAACGACAGGCGCCTCAGTTTCTTGCAAGGAGTCGAACCGTAGGGACTCACACGACTAAAAGTCGCGACGAGGTGGGATGCGTGGGAGCAGCGAGTCGGGAGGAGGAGACGAAGGCACGCAATCAGCGACAATTTGGCGTGAGTCGGGATTGGGCGGAAGCTCGAATGTGCAAGCCCAGGAGGAGGAGACGAAAAGCACGCAGTCAGCGAGAGAAGTGGCGAATTCTTATGTGAATACTGCCTCGGGATGGGGAGGGGGGCCGTCGTTGTATGTGCTGAGAGTGAGAGTGAGAGTGAGTGGTCACGCGTACATTGATTTATTTCTCCGCCATAGTATAATTCAAGTGATCTCGCGCTGTGGACGCGCGGAATGTGACGCGTTTTTCCGCAATTGCGGAAAGATGAGGAGCGTGCGGATGGAGACGGGCGCACAGCGGCGCCCGGCGTAAGGAGGACGCAGCGGAGCGGAGGGGGAGAGTGAGAGAGCCGCGTTTCGTTTCCCTCCGTTCGCGTTCCATGTGAGTTTGCCGCGACCTTCATCGCAATGGAACGCAAAAGGAGAAACGGACGGGGGCATGACGGGAAGAAAGACCAGCGTTGCGGTGGGACGAGGCGGATTTGAGACTTCGCAACGGGGCGCAGGCGAGGCGACAAGGCTTCCGCCTCGTAGCACTTGCGCGCTCGCGCACGTTAGGGTGAGTATTTGGGAACTTCGCGCATTATTGCTGCGAGAGATAATGCAGAAATGAATTGAGGGCTGTGAATGTGAAAGTGTTTGGGATGGCTAATGGGGAGGAAATGGTCAGTGTTTAAAACCCGCGTCTCATATTAACAACGGTATTACACTTGGTTGGGAAAAGGCACCTGTGATTGGGTAACGAGGGGCGAGTTTGTGACGAGCAGTTTGGAAAAGAGAAGCGAAACCCTTCTTCGTCAAGGCAAACGCAAGCAAGCGATTGCGAGCTTTTGCGAGCGCTTGCGACAGAACTCTGTAACTCAGATTTCGCCCAAGACGACGTACCTCGGCGACGGAATTCGATCCATGTTACCGGCAAACTTGATCGCGGTCTCGCTCGCCAATCAGCACGGCGACCAAAGTGCTGGCATATCGGATCAGATAAAGGTTGTAAGGAAGTGTACTTTTACTGGACCAATATGACATGCTGCATGCATGACAAAACAGGCACATAACAAATCTCTCTTCCAGTGAGCAAAATAAAAATGCACTATCAAAGCAACAGTTACGGTAAATGCTTAAAGGCATGGGCGGATTTTTAAACAGTGAAGCAAATGGTACCATTTACACACGAATGAACGTGGTGGCCTACACTACGACGGAACTATCGTAGCTAGCGCACACACTCTATGACTCAAGCCAACCGTAAGCCGATTTGTCTCCTGGCCCCCTAGCAACCACATGCATTTTCTCGCACCTCTGCTCCATCAGCCCCCCCCCCCCCCCCCCTCTTCCATCTGACTTCCATTTGACTGGCGCTCCCAGGTTGCACCTCCGCTTATGGCTGGGGCAACACCAGCTCCCACTGATATGACATCCGATATGACGCCCCTCTAGCACTGCGCGCCCTCTTCCCTTGTTCACCAACTCCTCTTTAGTGATCACATTCAGCTCTCTGAGTTGCAAAAAGGGCGAACGGGAGGGCAGGCCACAACATAGGCATGACTCGGGAGGGAAGTGACATGAGATGGAAGATAAAACGCGATGATCAGATAGGTGAGAAAAAATGTGGATGGCGGAGAGTAATCCAACGAGATAAGGGTGTGAGGTGATGGTGGGAAGCAAATGACAAAAACTTTCAGTGAGGAATCCGGGAGGGGAAAATACCATCTCCCTTTATCTCTCTGCCTCTCCCTCTCATCCCCCTCTCCCTCACCTCGCTCTCTTCCTCTCCATCTCCCCCTTTTGTCCCTTACAAGAGCACTTGTTGTTATAATCCATTTGGAACCCAGCCTTGCACTGGCATGCCGCCTTTCCTCCCACCACCTTGCACTGCGCATTAGCAGGGCAGCCACCCTTGCATGTGGCTGCCACATGCGATGGGGGAGAGTGCGATAGAGGGAAAAATGCAAATCAATGAGCGAGGAAGAGACGAGAACACACAACGAATCTGGATGGCATAAATGTGACAGGCGGGTTGTTTATGGGTGCACTAGCTAAGAGCAGTGGTTGCGGGTGGTGGTGGTGCATGCCTCTTGAGATCCCTTAGGACGCGGCACCTCTAGCGCCGATCCTGCGATCGATCCTGCTCAGGATTGAATTTTTCAGGAGTTCAAAATGGTGTTGGAAGATTTAAATGTTTTTGGCAGGATTTCAGTGCGGTGGAATCAGCGATCCTGGGATCGATCCTGCTCAATTTCTAGAGGTGCCGCGTCCTTACGTGTGCACTTGTTATTCGCCATTCGGAACCCCGCCTTGCACTGACATGCCAGGTTTCCTTTCACCTCCTTGCACTCCGCATTAGCAGGGCAGGCAGCAGTGCACACAGCTGCCATACAAGGTGGGTGGAGGGGGGGGGGATGGAGGGGTGGAAGGGAAGGAAGAGTTTGAAGAATGTGTGGGAAACAGCTGGAGGGCAAACAATGGGAGTAGATGGCACGGATGTGTCATGCAGGATTTTAATGGGTGGGTGGTGGAGATGGTGGGATAAGTAAAACTGGAGTTCAGGGAAAGAAATCCCTCCCTCTCACTTACGTGTGCACTTCCCCTTCTCCAATTTGAAACTTTTCTTGCACTGACACACCGCCTTTCCTCCGACCACAATGCACTGGGCATTCACAGGGCAGGCCCGCTTGCACACGGCTGCGATAGGTGGGAGGTGGGTGGGGGATGGAAGAGGGAGGAGAGAGGATGACCTGACCGAGGTTAACGCAGGGGAAAATGAGGAGTGGCTTGGAAGGAGGGTCACAAGGAGGCCACAAAACCGCCACAAGCACTGAATGAAAGATAGACTCACACAAGGGTACTGTGAACACGTGCATAAAAACAGGACTAAGTATTGACCTCTTCACCTCTTGACCTCTCGGTCACCAGCCTTTCAAGCACAGCCCTTGGTGGGCTCACCAGTGCAGAGGCCGTTCCTCTTGGTGTAGCCGGCATCACACTCGCAACACGCCTTTCCGCCTCTCGCAACGCACTTTGAGTTCTTGCCGCACTTCAGTGTGCCCGTCTTACAAGGGTCTGTCGCTGCCATGGGTAAAGAGGAGAAGGAATTAGCAACAGTCTAACTAGACACCTAAGGAAAATTCTATTTCAGACTATATTTTCAAACATGCAACAAGAGACAAAGACACCTACCAGGTGTGTAATACGCATCGCTGCAGATCTTCTTGGCCTCGTTGAACACGAGGCCCAAGGGGCACTTGCACTGGGCCTTACCCTCCTTCACAATGCACTTGGCACTTCCACAATCCTTGGGACACGGGGCCGTTGTGGGGACCACAGTCGGGGCAGTTGTGGGGACCTCAGACGGGGCAGTTGTGGGGACCTCAGACGGGGCTGTCGTGGGGACCTCAGACGGGGCTGTTGTGGGGACCTCAGAAGGGGCTGTTGTGGGGACCTCAGAAGGGGCTGTTGTGGGGACCTCAGAAGGGGCTGTTGTTAGGACCTCAGACGGGGCTGTTGTGGGGACCTCAGAAGGGGCTGTTGTGGGGACCTCAGACGGGGCTGTTGTGGGGACCTCAGACGGGGCTGTTGCGGGGACCTCAGACGGGGCTGTTGTGGGGACCACAGAAGGGGCTGTTGTGGGGACCTCAGAAGGGACTGTTGTGGGGACCTCAGAAGGGGCTGTTGTGGGGACTTCAGACGGGGCTGTTGTGGGGACCTCAGACGGGGCTGTTGTGGGGACCTCAGACGGGGCTGTTGTGGGGACCTCAGACGGGGCTGTTGTGGGGACCTCAGAAGGGACTGTTGTGGGGACCTCAGAAGGGGCTGTTGTGGGGACTTCAGACGGGGCTGTTGTGGGGACCTCAGACGGGGCTGTTGTGGGGACCCCAGACGGGGCTGATGTGGGGACCCCAGACGGGGCTGATGTGGGGACCTCAGACGGGGCTGTTGTGGGGACCCCAGACGGGGCTGATGTGGGGACCTCAGACAGGGCTGTTTTGGGGACCTCAGACGGGGCTGTTGTGGGGACCACAGAAGGGGCTGTTGTGGGGACCTCAGAAGGGGCTGTTGTGGGGACCTCAGACGGGGCTGATGTGGGGACCTCAGACGGGGCTGTTTTGGGGACCTCAGAAGGGGGTGATGTGGGAACCACAGACGGGGCTGTTGTGGGAAAGGGGTAGACCACATATGGAAAACACAGACAGAAAACCACAGGAGGGGCAACAAGTTATACGAGACTAAACCAATATAGCCGAGACTGAAAGTGTAACCCTGTCATAACCACTGAGTCTCTTAGTCGTCAGCCCAAGAATCGTCCGAGTGCAATGTGAGTACAACTTGGCACCGTCCTCCAAGCACAAGCCCCATGCCTGATGGACTGCACAAGTATCGCAGTATCGTCATAGTCGCCGGTAGTGATCAGGGAGGTGTTACCCGGGTGCAACGTAGCACGCCAGGATGCTGAGAGGGTATGCGATATCAGGCCGAATGCACGTCATCAAGTACATGAGGTAGGCTATAAGCTCTGGATACGAACCACTCAGCTTTACGGACTCGTCCGAAGGTGGAGCTGAGAAAAACAAGTTACACGTGATTTTGGGAAACGACAGATGGAGAAACAATCCCAAACATATAAAGTGAATTAGTCAGGAAACAATTAACGTGACATAGGAAGTGATTTGCTTCTCAGTCTTTCTTACTTGGTCTCGGATTCTAGCACCCACCCACCGCACCCACCAGCCCACACTCAAGCACGCACCCACCCACACTCCTTCACCCACCCACCCACACTCCTTCACCCACCCACTCACACTCCTTCACCCACCCACCCACACTCCTTCACCCACCCACCCACACTCCTTCACCCACCCACCCACACTCCTTCACCCACCCACCCACACTCCTTCACCCACCCACTCACACTCCGGCACCCACCATTGCACTCACCACCCGTCTGAAGGGAATCTCGTTGTGAATTCATTTTACAATTGGGCAACGGAGTTGTGAAAGGGACGACGGTTATGAATCATGTGCACTAATGCACACTCCAACACCCACCCACACTCCACCACCCACCCACACTCCACCACCCACTCACACTCGAGCACCCCAGCCACACTCGAGCACCCACCCACACTCGACCCTCATTCCAACACCACCCTCACTCCTGCACAGTCCAGCACTGTCGCATACTTTCCAGCGCATACTCACAATGCAGCACTCCCCCACACTCCACTCACCAGCAATGCACTGTAGTCAGCTTCTTGGAAGATGAGGCCCTCCTCGCACCGGCATTGGGCCGTACCTTCCTGCATCACGGCGCACTTCTGAGGCGCCTCAAAACGAGACTCAAATCTAGGCTCCCACTCTCCACTCACCAGCATTGCACGTGAAGTCAGCTTCTTGGAATATGAGGCCCTCCTCGCACCGGCACTCGGGAGTGTTATCATCCTTCAAGACGCAACGCGCTTCCCCGCAGTACGTGTGGTAACTGGAACACATGTCTGCGGGGGAAAGCATGGGTTTGTTCCGAGATGAAGCAGGGAAAGCTAGTTAGTAGAGGGGAAAAACACTCAATCACTGTGGTGGGAAAACTACTAATGAGAGTGGATTTAGCCGCTGTGCCCAACCACTCACACACAATCCACCACTCACCCACACTCCACCACTCACCCACACTACACCACTCACCCGCACTCCACCACTCACCCACACTCCACCACTCACCCACACTCCACCACTCACCCGAACTCCACCACTCACCCACACTCCACCATTCACCCACACCACCACTCACCCACACTCGACCACTTACCCACATTCCACTCACTCACACCCCACCACTCGCTCACACCCTACCACTCACCCACACTCCATCACTCACCCACACTCCACCACTCACCCATACTCCACCATTCACCCACACCACCACTCACCCACACTCCACCACTCACCCACACTCGACCACTCACCAACACTCCACTCACTCACACCCCACCACTCACTCACACCCCACCACTCACTCACACCCCACCACTCACCCACACTCCATCGCTCACCCACACTCCACCACTCACCCACACTCCACCACTCACCCACACTCCACCACTCACCAACAAAGCACTTCTTGGTAACTTCATCAAGACGGGAACCTCTTTTGCACGAGCACTCGGGCTTGTGATCCTCATTCTCAAAGCAGATGCCATCTCCGCACTCCACTCCAACACATACAGCGGGAACCTCTGGTTCTGAACGTGAAGCAAGCAGCAGGGAAGGAAAAAGGAATGTCGCTGGAATGTCTGAACATAGGCTTGTGATGCTCATTCTCAAAGCAGATGCCATCCCCGCACTCCACTCCGGCACATACAGCGGGAACCTCTGGTTCTGAATAAGAAGCAAGCAGCGGGGAAGGGAAAAGGCCCGGGGGTTAGTTAGAAGAATATACAGTTTGCTAACAAACGATTCACTCACTTGCAACACTTGCACTCTCATCTCACCCAGACTCCCCGCACTCACCACCACTACACGTCCCGTCCTCCTCGTTAATTTGAGAAAAAGCATAGCACCTGCACTTGGTGGCTTTTGAGTCGACTCAAAGTTGTCCCGCACTCACCACCAGCACTACACGTCCCGTCCACTGCACTCACCACCAGCACTACACGTCCCGTCCACTGCACTCACCACCAGCACTACACGTCCCGTCCACTGCACTCACCACCAGCACTACACGTCCCGTCCACTGCACTCACCACCAGCACTACACGTCCCGTCCTCCTCGTTGAATCGAGAGAAATCATCGCACCTGCACTTGGTGGCTTCTGAGTCGACTCAAAGGACTCCCCGCACTCACCACCACCGCTGCACGTCCCATCCTCCTCGTTGAATCGAGAGAAATCATCACACCGGTAGAGTCAAAGCAGGAGGCGTCGTCCCCACAGCTCTTCTCAGCACACGCTTCTGCAGAGCAAGTCACGGGGTTGTTGCAGTGCAAGGTGGGAGAGGGTTTTTTAGTCGACTTGAAAATCGTCTCATCACAAGCAGACGGCGTCGTCCCCACAGTTCTTCTCAGCACAGGACGTCACGGGGTTGTTGCAGTGAGGGGGAGACAACTTTTGAGGTGCCTCAGCAGACGGCGTCGTCCCCACAGTTCTTCCCAGCACAGGCCTCTGCAGAGCAAGTCACGGGGTTGTTGCAGGGTGGCGGAGAAAAAGGGGTTAGTAGAAGAGCGGAGACTTTGCTAACAAACAATGCGCTCACCCACACTCAAGCTCTCCCCCACACTCCAGCGCTCACCCAGACTCAAGCTCTCACCACTAACGCACGTGCCGTCTGCCTCGTTGAAGACAAGAAGACCATCCTCGCACTGGCACACGGGCTTGCCGTCAGGACCCCCAATGCGGTACCTTCTGAGTCGACCCAACAGACTCCAGCACTCACCACTAACGCATGTCCCGTCCGCCTCGTTGAAGACAAGCAGACCATCCTCGCACTGGCACACGGGCTTGCCATCAGGACCCTCAATGCAGTACCTTTTGAGTCGGCTCGAAAGACTTCTGCACTCACCACTAACGCATGTCCCGTCCGCCTCGTTAAAAACAAGAAGACCATCCTCGCACTGGCACACGGGCTTGCCATCAGGACCCTCAATGCAGTACGCATCGGCCCCACAGTTCTCCTCCGCACACACGTCTGCAGAGCGAGCAAGGCAAGGGTTGTTCCGATCAAAGGTGGGCGGGAGAGGGAAAGGGGATCCTGAGTCGACTCAAAAGGACCCTCAATGCAGTAGGCTTCAGCCCCGCAATTCTGGTCCGCGCACACGTCTGCAGAGCAAGCAAGTCAAGGGTTGTTCCGAACAAGGGTGGGAGAGGGAAAGGGGGCGGGTGGGAGAGGGAAAGGGGGTGGGTGGGAGAGGGAAAGGGGGTTTTGAGTCAACTTAAAAGGAACCTCAATGCAGTACGCTTCGGCCCCACAAGTCTCGTCCGCGCACACGTCTGCAGAGCGATCAAGGCAAGGGTTGTCCCGATCAAAGGTGGGAGAGCGAAAGGGGGTTAGAAGAGTGGATGGATTTTTGAGACTCCAAAGTTATTCTCGTCTGCACACACGTCTGCACACACGTCTGCACACACGTCTGCACACACGTCTGCACACACGTCTGCACACACGTCTGCACACACGTCTGCACACACGTCTGCACACACGTCTGCACACACGTCTGCACACACGTCTGCACACACGTCTGCACACACGTCTGCACACACGTCCGCAGAGCAAGCAAGTCAAGGGTTGCTCACCCACCCACACTACACTCCCCACCCACCCACCCACACTCCCCCACTGTAAGCGATGCTTCACAGGACTGCCTCTTGGGAACTGGAAAACTGTGGACACTGTGGACACGAAAATTTGGTGCGCCATGCCATGCATCTCACGACTGCACGCGCCATTCTCTAAGGTGCGGCCGGATCCACACTCGCCGCTGATGGCAACGAGGTTGAGACACATGAGAGAGAGAGAGAGAGAGAGAGAGAGAGAGAGAGAGAGAGAGAGAGAGAGAGAGAGAGAGAGAGAGAGAGAGAGAGAGAGAGAGAGAGAGAGAGAGAGAGAGAGAGAGAGAGAGAGCACCCCTTGGTTGAATGCCATGGCGCGTGCCAGTCACGGTGGGTGCCACGGTGGGTGCCACGGTGGGTGCCACGGTGGGTGTGATGGCACGTGCCCAGGCAGTCAGCCTACTCACCGTCAGCGGCGCTGGCGTGGGTCGCGAGGAAACTGATGACAACGAGACCCGCGACAAGTGCGGCGGCGCCAAGCCCGTACAGCCGCCCGAAGCGCCGGACCATGATCACGAAAGGGAGAGGACCCGGAAAAAACGAGGATATGGAGAGAGAACCGATCGAGACGGAGGGGCGCGAAATGGGTGCGCAGCGGAGTGTGAGAGAATGTGATTGCGGCCTTGGAAGCGGTGTGAGAATGAGAGGGAAGCGGGCGCGGATTTATGTGTCGAGAGTGAGTGGTCAATCGCTCCGTTTGATCTATTGGTTTTCATAGAAGTGAACCAATCCTGCAGACTCGCGCATCATGTAACCCGTTTCGGCGCGGACAAGAGAGGGGGGAACACGAGGGGAGGCGCAGCAGGGACGCGCGGCAGGGAGGAAGGGGGATCGGCGCAGCGCCGAGGCTTGCAAATGTGCATTGCGCGAGCGCGATCGGGTTGCGGAGTAGGAGACAGCACGGGGAGATTTGAGTGATAACGGCCAGTAAGCGGAAGGGAATTCCGCGTTACGAGCGGCCAGTGCGTGGTGGTGATTTTAGTCATATCGGCCAGTAAGCGGAGGGAACCACGGGCTACGAGGAATGGGTGGACGAGGAGGAGGCGATGGCGGGAGGAAGTCGGTAGGGAAGGATCGTCGAGGCGGCTAGGCGAACGCGTTAAATTGGTTCTATTGGACGAGACGGGATTCAAACTCCGCGACGGGGTGGTAGGCGATAAGGCTCCCGCCTATACTACTAGTACTGGTGGTTGGAGAGTAGCGCGCTTGCGCACAGCGGGGTGGCGAGAGGAGCGGGACTTGCGGGAGTGATTTATTGTTGCTTTGGGAGCCAAGTGAATGCTTGGAACACGTTTGAGAACCACGAGGGGATATAGTGTAGTCCCAGGCACCAATCGTTATTTATTACATCGTTATTCATTACAACCAGTCCATTATTCAAGACTGGAAATAAAGACTTTAAGGTACCCGTATGGTACTTGTTTTCCAAACTTCCGTTGTAGCACATTCCAGGGATAACATTCACACGACACCACAAGGCAAAATGGGGGTGCTCAACACCAGAATTAACACCCCGGTCCGCATTTGTCGCTCAGCAGTATTCAAATTGGAGGGGTGTCATGCACCTGAAAATATGGTACAGTTTATGCTGGACAACTTCTACTCAACACACTCTACAGATCACTACCGCATAGCACCGCAACACACCACTTCGCCCCCCACTCGGCCAGCATCTGCTCCGAGTCAACGTCATCCCCAGTATCAAGCTGCGGCTTGCCCCCTCCTGGCTTGCCACCGCACACCACCGCACACCACCGCAACACACTCCCCCCACTCGGCCAGCATCTGCTCCGAGTCAACGTCATCCCCAGTATCAAGCTGCGGCTTGCCCCCTCCTGGCTTGCCACCGCACACCACCGCACACCACCGCAACACACTCCCCTCACTCAGCCAGCATCTGCTCCGAGTCAGCGTCATCGCCGGTATCCAGCTGCAACTTGCCCCCTCCCTCTGTGCCACCGGACACCACCGCACACCACCGCAACGCACTCCCCTTACTCGGCCAGCATCTGCTCCGAGTCAACGTCATCGCCAGTATCAAGCTGTGGCTTGCCCCCTCCCGGTGCGCCGCCCGCCTGCTTCTTCTTGAGCCCGCTGACGATGTCATCGATGCGCAGCAGCATGCACGCCGCCTCGATGGCCGTCTTCACAGTCTGCACCTTCACTGCGTACGGCTCCCACACCTGGCAGGGCCAAAGGAGGCAGGGACGGGATGAATGAAAGGCATGCAAGGGTAAGCAGCATGCACGCCGCCTCGATGGCCGTCTTCACAGTCTGCACCTTCACTGCGTACGGCTCCCACACCTGCCAGGCAGTGGGGTGGGAGGGAGGGAGGGATGAGGGGAATGCATGGAGGGGAGAGCAGCATGCACGCTGCTTCGATGGCCGTTTTGACTGTCTGCACCTTCACTGCGTACGGCTCCCACACCTGGCAGCCGGGGAGGGGGAGGTAGGGGGGGATGAGGGGGCATGCATGAAAGGGAGAGCAGCAGGCACGCCGCCTCAATGGCTGTCTTTACTGTCTGCACCTTCACTGCGTACGGCTCCCACACCTGGCGGGCAGGGGGAGGGGGCAGTGGGGTGGGAGGGAGGGGAAGATGAGGTGAATGCATGGAGGGGAGAGCAGCATGCACGCCGCCTCGATGGCTGTCTTCACCGTCTGCACCTTCACTGCATACGGCTCCCACACCTGGCAGGCAGTGGGGCAGGGGGGAAGTGCGATCAGGGGAATACATGGACGAGTGAGCAGGTGAGGAACCAGCACCTCAATGGCCGTCTTTACTGTCTGCACCTTCACTGCGTACGGCTCCCACACCTGGCAGGCAGAGGGCACACAGAGAGGCGGGAGGCAGGGGGCGGGGAGGCAGGTTGAGTGGAGGGCGTGAAAGGGCAAACGACACACGCACCACCTCAAAGATGGAGTTTCCCTGTCTGCTGCCACACCTGGCAGACGCAGGGAGAGGCGGGAGGCAGGGAGACCAGAAAGCATGGGAGGCT